AGCCGGTGTCAGAAACATGTGATTTCTTTGACGGAAAAGAAGAGCAATCTACCCAAGCTCCAAGACAGCGAGCCAGGACCCACCTTAGAATGTCTTGCCATAATCTGTGTCTAACTTTTTCCAGTAAGTAGATTTTTGTCCTGAGAATGAAACGCATGGCCAATGCCATGAACACCCCAAGTCAGTGTGACTCCCTTGGACTTCTTCTTGTGAGCCTGGCACAATGGCCAAGAAACTACAGCCCCCCTGAGCCACGGAAAAATATGCCGGAATCACCGCGAAATTCGTTCCAAAGTGTTTGTTCACATTTTCCTGAACATCGATTGGGCCCCCTCGAACATAGAAGGAACCACCAGTGAGCCTTAGGTTCATCATTTCAATTTCAATAGTGAAATTTCTAAATCAAACGTAGATAAAACATGATAAAAAGAGATTCACCTCACTGCTCTGAGATTGGGGCAAAGTGGAAACGGAGACACAACTGTCTTTCAAAGTCTCCGGAACCGTTTCCACGTCAGGTGCCTCTGTCCAAGACCTAGGGAGGCATCAACACAAACCGTTTAAAAAAATCAAATGCCTTGAGAGCCTATGGCCCACACCCCTTAGCCATCACCTCTTCACTTGGGAGCTTGTAGTTGTTGGAGTCGTCAGCAGCAAACTTGCGGAGGATCTCGATGTTCTTCACGCGGTTCTCCAGTGAATGGAGGCAAGGGTTGGGGGACCAACCAATACAAAGGACATCAGAGGACTGAGGAACCCGAGTTCAAGAATTGTTCAATGATGGCTGTTGGCAATTGAAGGAATTGCTTTCAAGATTCATGATCTTGATGGATGCTGTTAAAATTATTTCGTAGATTTTCGTAGCTATAAGGGTTCAGTCTGGCCATGTTTGGCCTCTTTGTAGTACTTCTTTGGCTCTTTTGCGTTGCCCTCCTCGTCCTGGGAAAGCAAGAGCTCTAGTGCTACAGCTTGGAACCCAGAGTTAAGAAGAAAATGCAGATACTAGATATCATTTCCACGTAGTTTCTGGAAGTCTGTGTTTTTGAGTTTGCTTGGAAGCCCTATAATTTTCCAAGATGAATCAACAACCTGATAGGGAGGTTGTGACCCTGGGTCTGTGCAAGCTTCTGTCCTTCTCCTTTTCCTTTTTCTTGGCATGCTTTTCTTTTGGCTTCTTGGGAGTCTCAGCATCCACCGTGCTTCCCCCCGTGGGCTTGCCTCCTTCAGGATCATCTTCCTGTTCACTCTCCGCGGGCTTGCTTTCCTTATCAGGGTGATCTTCCTTCTCACTTTCCTTGTCATCCTCCTTTGTGCGTTTCTTCGGTTCCTTCTCAGCGTCAGCCTTCTTTCTCTTCTTGGAAGCTGCTTTTTCCTTGGGCTGTTTTTTTGGACGCTTTGGTTTTGGTTCATCGTCCTGGCTTTCTGCATCTCTTTCTTTCTTCATTTTCTCATCTTCATCATCCAGCGCAGCTTCCATTGATACTTCCTCTTCATTCTCGGGTGCTTTTTCCTCTTCTTCTGGCTTCTGTGGTTTTGCCTTAGCAGCTCTCTTTGGCCTGCCAGGTTTTTTCTTCTCAGCTTCCGCTGCTGCCTTCTCTTCCTTTGCTTTCTTTTTCAGGTCAGCTCTCATCCTCCTTTGCTCCTCAAGAATTTGCCTCGCTTCTTCTTCTTCTTGTTGTTCATCTCCTTCTGCCTCAAGCTCCTGTAACTCAGGAATGTGATGAAGCAAAGGCTTTGTGTCTTTGAAGGTTCCTCTCATTTTGCTGCTGTCAATGTTATTTCGATTCATGGCATCATCTTCGCTATCGATTTCGATTTCTTCTTTCTTGGCCTCTGCAAGTGCCTGTTTGACATACCTTCTGACCTCTTTGCCCGAGTCTTCGTCCACCTGTTCCAGGGTCTTGCGTAGGCTTGCAACCAAGGCAATCACCTCAGCCTTGATTCTTGCTCTTTTGACCTCTTCTGCTTCTTCCTTTTTGGTCTGCTGGATCATGTCCTGTGTAAACTTCTCGTCCAACTTCCTTTCTTGCTCCTCTTGGATCCTTTCTTTCTCTCTGTTCTGTTGCTCCAGAATCCTCTTCTGCTCTGCCCTCTTCTGTGCTCTCAGCCTTGCATCTTCCTCCTCCTTCTCCTCAGCCTTTCTCTTGGCCTCTTGGATTCTGTCCTCCGCCGCCTTCTGCTCATCTGCTTTGATCTTTTCCTCCTTGGCTTTCTTCGTCTCTTGGATTCTCTCCTCTGCCTTGATCCTTTCCTCCTCTGCTTTCCTCTCGGCCTGAATCCTTTTCTTCGCTGCCTGCAGCATTTCCTCTTCTTTCTCCTCCTCAGCCTTTTTGATCCTTTCCTGCTCTGCTTTCCTCTCGGCCTGAATCCTCTTCTTCGCTGCTTGCAGCATTTCCTCTTCTTTCTCCTTCTCAGCCTGTTTGATCCTTTCCTCCTCTGCCTTCTTCTCCGCCTGAATCCTCTTCTTCGCTGCTTGCAGCATTTCCTCTTCTTTCTCCTTCTCAGCCTGTTTGATCCTTTCCTCCTCTGCCTTCTTCTCTGCCTCAATCCTCTTCTTCGCTGCTTGCAGCATTTCCTCTTCTTTCTCCTTCTCAGCCTGTTTGATCCTTTCCTCCTCTGCCTTCTTCTCCGCCTCAATCCTCTTCTTCGCTGCTTGCAGCATTTCCTCTTCTTTCTCCTTCTCAGCCTGTTTGATCCTTTCCTCCTCTGCCTTCTTCTGCTCTGCACGAAGCCTTTGCTTCTCTGCCTCCAGCCTTTCCTCCTCAGCCTTGCTCTTATCGGCTTTGTTCCTTTCCTCATTTGATGCCTCCTTCTCTGCCGTCTTCTCGGCCCTTTCCTCTACCTTCTTCTCAGACTGCGGCTTTTCCTCTGCCTTCTGGCTTTCCACTTTGGCACTGCCCTTTGCCCTCGCTTCATCCTGCAGCCCTTCCAGAGACCTTTCTTCTGTCACTTCATCTTCGGTAAAATCCTCTTCCTCCTCCTCCTCTTCAACTATCACCATTTCTTCAGGGTTCTCTGTTTCCTTGTCTTCTACTCCTTTTTTCTCTTTTGCATTCTTTGCATCTTCCTGGTGCACTAGGGCCCGAGGGGTGATATTCTTCGGTTCGACTTGGATGCTTATAATGCCTGAGTGAACCTGAGAATTGTAAGTCAGCTTGAAATGGGGAAACATCCTTTTCCAGCCTTTGTGAGTGGTTTCCGGATAGACCTTGTTCTCTTCTCAACCCCTGCGTCCTGCCACGCTTGATGCATGTTGACTAAAAGTAGATAATGTGAATTGAGACATGCTGTGGATGGAAGAAATCCTGCAATAACGGGATACACCATTTACCAACTTGTGCAAGATTTCTTGCATCCACAACATTGAGACCATAAAACAGGATTTGACGTATTCATATCCTCGTAAATCATCGTGACCATTGCCTTCAGCTTGGCAATGTTTCCATCCTTTTGCCTAGAAGAAGGTTGCAAACTGGAAACCCCCACCCCAATTACTCGGTGACGCTGTTTGGCATGGTACATATGCTACAACTTCCTTACCATGCCTGGTGGATGTGGTACGGGCATAGTTTGCCAAAATGTTGCTCGCCAAAAGGCGATGCAGACCTGATTCCGTCGAAGCCCACTCCTCGGAGGCGAGTGCGCTGGAAGCAAGCTGAACCGAGGGGAAGTGATTTTTTCTAAGGGTCTGACTTCAAGGTCATCTTTTGGATCCACTAATCGCCAGGTTTCAGCAGTAACCATCAAAGCATCCTAGCACAAATTAACATGGTTGAAAATGATCGGTGCTATTTTTTGAAGTCTGAGGGGGTAGAATGTGTGATTGTGTGATCCCAATCTGCCTTTACCTCTCGTGGCGTTGGTTGGTCCAATGCAAAGTTTGGCAACCATTTGAGTGCAAAGAGCGTGTTGTTGTCGGTCTTGACCTGGCGCTGTAGCCAATTCCTTTTTTTTTAAAAAATAAGGAGAAACATGCCAGGAAAACCACATCTTCTGTGAGCCCCTTTTTGGAATTCACATCAAGAAAGCTGAAGATCACAGGTGGTACCTGCTATCCAACGATTGTTTGGGAGAACAAAGGGCCCAAATTCCCAAATCTTGTGCATCATAGTGGGGGGGCACCCTCTTGTCTTTCAGCAGCCTTTCGGCCTTTTGAATTGGCACGCCTTCTTTTTTGGCGAGCTCTAGGAACCTTTCCTCCCGGTAGCCTGTTTTCAAGATGTCAGTGTAGAAAGCCTGCCAAGCATTGTTTTTTCTTCTTCTTGGCCAGTGAATAAAAAAAGGTTCTTGCCCACATCCACCGACCTTTCCCAGCCTTTAGTAGGCTTACCCTGGTCTGGTCAGGCTTTGAGACGGGCATGATTGCACGCGGCGGTCGCCCCAGCAAAAAAAGGAAAAACAAGTCAGTTGTAAGAAACATCTACTTGGAATTGTTGCATGTGTTGGTGAATCAAACTTATGTAGGTTTCGTGGCAGCTTGAGCTGGGATCTCGTGAGTGCAAAGTGGCAAAGTCCCAGCAACAGCCCGACCAAAAAAACAAGCAAGCAACTGTGGCCAAAAGAAGGGAGGTGGCACCTTCATGGGTAGATTGGAGTTGGTTCATGCCTTGGCTAAGGCACGCCACCCACAGCTAAGTGGTCATGGCTCAACCCTTGCAAGCACTGGCAATGAAGAACTGAGATCCCAACGCCTCTTCAAGGCTTTCTTCATTGCCAGGTGCTTGCAAGGTTTGAGCCAATGTTTGAGACATGATGGATCGGTCTGGATCAGCTGCATTTTGGTATGGATTGGGGGTATGGATCGGCCTGTGTGTTCATGAATAAATCCAGGAATGAGTAAAACATAGCATTTCATAAATACGAAGTTTCACCTAGTAAAACTTAGTATTAACAAATACGAAGTTAAACTAAGTAAGTGACGCTTAGGGTATATATATGATGTGATATAGCTTCGAGCCATACCCACTGAGACATTTTTCTTGAGTCTTTTTTTTTGCCAGATGTTCACCGGATTTCACCGCTTGGTCCATGCTGCGGAGGAGAGATATCGGCGCCGTGGCTATGAGTGCGGTCTGGATGCCAGAGATTACCAAGAAGCTGCTGAGGAACGCTTCATTGAAGAAGATGAGGACAGCAGTTGTGGATTCAACTTCGGCCTTGGCTTGAAACAAACGTTTGAAGGTGAAAGATGAGAGAAAAAATATGAAAACATGAATGGTTGATATATGTTGATATGGTTGGTAGTTTCAACCTGTTCTTCAACTCTTATTTTCATTGATTCCCGTGGGATGAGGATCACTGATGTTTGGAGCATTGGAGCAGTGATGATATCAGGTGCTTTGGGTCTCTGAGGATCCTTACTGGTGGCGTGGCGATCCACAGCTGCTCTGTTTTGACTTGCCCTCCACGTCTGAAGAACACTTGACGCATGGAGCACCAACGTCATCCCAATGGTGCCTTGGGCACTGCTCAAATCACTTAGATATTTCAATGCCCTGTGCAAGACGGTGATTAGATCAGAAAAGGGTTGCTCCTATCAGCAGATATTTTATGTATATATTTGCATTTTTTTGCATATTTTCCAATTTATTTATCATTATATTTCATATGTTCTTTCTTTTTGTATTTTTCATAATGCATCAGTTTTTACTATTTTTGTGTTTTTTCCCAAAAGCATCTCCGATGCTTGGGTTCTCGTTTAGTTGCACTCGCCGCGGGGGAGCGAGACTGAGTGGTCGACGGAGATGTGTTGGAAGGAAGGAAGGAAGGAAGGAAGGAAGGAAGGAAGCAAGGAAGGAAGGAAGGAAGGAAGGAAGGGAAGGAAGGAAGGAAGGAAGGAAGGAAGGAAGGAAGCAAGGAAGCAAGGAAGCAAGGAAG